TTTCAATAAAACTTAATTTAAACAAACTGTAATGATAATTTAATCAAAGGAAAAAAAAAATGAAAATCTTATATGTTTAAAAGATTTGATATATATATGTTAGCTTTATTACTTTATGCATTTTTCAATAAAATCAAAAATGAAACAAATTAACAAACAATGTTAGAAGAAAAAAAAAATGAAACCATTCCAATAGAACTATTAGCATTTTAATTATTTAATTACTGTTGTGCAATACTATTTAATTACCATAGCTAGATTGTTGTTAATTGTTTAATTTAATACAATTCCAATATTTAAAATTTCTGGAACAGATATTTGTTTATTAAGTAAATTTTGTGTTTTTTGTTTTTATTTGAAAATAGCTATATAAAATTTATTGTTCATTTAATATAATATTTTTTTTTTAATCGATAATTTTATTTGGCTCAGTAGGTGGTAGTTTGATTTAAGAGAAAACTATAAAAAGGCATTTTGGATGAGAACGAAGAACAAACATATTTTAATAATTTATAACAAAAAAAAAAAGGAAATAAAGAGAGAGAAAAAGAGAGAGAGAGAGAAAATGAGAGAAATGAAAGGGATAAAGATAGAAATCTTCATGTTAAGAATATTTCTGAAGAAATGGAATGACTAAATTATCATTTTTAAAATACTTTATTCAAAATTTCATTCAAAAACAAAACAAAAGACAAAATCATTTTCTATTGCGAGACTTTTCGATATAAAAAGAGAGAGAGAGAGGGAGAGAGGAGAGGGAGAGAAACAGAAATAGGGAAAAAGATGAAGCAGGAAGAAATTAAATATGAATTGAAGAAAACAAAAAAGATTGGTTTAGTGAATGAAACAAATTTTTCGTTTCTAATTTCATATTATGAAAAATACAAATATTTAAAAAAATTTTCAGATCAATACGACGAAAAAATTGAAAATGCTATGAGAAATAATTGGATTATGAAAAGAATTGCAACAACGATGTATCAAACAATCCTTTCTAAAAAATATAAATTAACACTTTTAGATACATAAATTGTTATAAATTTTCTAAATTGTTATTATCAATTAATGAAATAATCAAGAATGTCTAGAATTTTATGAGAAATTGAAATGAAAAATGAAAAAAAAAAAACTTAAAATTAAATTTCTCACTAACAAAATTCTTATAATTTGTAATTAATGATTCCCACTCTTGATTACATGTAATTTTCACATACATATACACATTTTAAATATATGCCTTAAAAGTGACATAAATTTAAATAGATGAATCCAATTTCACAGTTATACCAATGCATATTTACGTAACCATATATCGGTGTTAATCCACGAAATATGTATCTCATTTTGATACCTTTTCTACATAGTGCATCACTTTGATACCCTTCCATATGAAGTATATCACCTTGACATCCTTCTGAATATATCATTTTGATGTGCTTTTCATATAGAACTCTGATGCTTTTTGTTCACATAGTGTATCATTGCGTTATGCTTTTCGCACAAAGTATGTCACTTTGATGTCATTCCATCGAACCATATTGTTTTCAGTAATTTTGGCATCAACTGGAACATGTATGAGTGTCGATTTTAGCAGTTTTAAAGGTTCAAACTGAAATTTTATCATCAAAAATAAAAAAAAAAAAAGGAGATAGTATTTAAAACGAAAGTAGTATATTTTTTTATTTTTATTTAAAATGCTATTTTTGATTCAAGAAAAAATACTATTTTTTTTTTAAAAGAAAACAGTCAAAGAAGAAATGCAAAAAAACTGTTCGAGAGGGTTAGAATAACTTTATTTTTCTTTAATTTATTATTTAAATTGAAGCAGTTATACTCTTTTTTTTTTTCTTTACACTTTTCTATATTATTTTCTTTTTCAATCCAATTAAAAAACTATCTTATTCTAATATTTATCGTGAAATTTGCAATTTAAAAACTATATCATTATCAATTCACGTACTAATTTTCATATCGGAACTATCTGAAGAAATGATTTTAATCACCGAATTATGGAAATTAGTGATCAGGAAATATCATTTTTTGAATAATAAATTTGTAATGAACAAATTTGTTGATTTTTCCCAAAAAAATAGTAAATAAATAAGTGAAAATATAAACAAATAAACAAATGAATAAAAATAAAAAACGACAAATTCATGCTAAAAATAAACAATCCCATAAAACAAAAAATTAAAAAAACTTTCAAAATAGCAATTTTGAGAAATTAATCGAAAATTAAAATTATAAATAATAAATTCTAAATTTTCATCAAAATTTTTCAAATTGCAATAATATGAGACGATGTGTGAGAAGTGGATTGGTGGATTGATAAATTGATTGCAATTATCAAATTATTTAAATTATCTGAAATGGTCGTATTTTTGTAAGCAGAAATATGAATGATTGAGGAGAAGAAGACGAATATATTATTTTGTATTTTAAGAAAAGATTAACTGAAGCGATTAAAATTGATTGGTAATGAAAAGTAATGATTTGAATTTAAAAAAAAAAAAAAATTTGCGAAAAAATTGTACGGTTCACTTTTTTTTGCGATAGTAATTAATAATTTTTCTTAATGATTACTTTACAAATGTAATTGTTTTATGTTTGAATTTTTCTTTTTTTTTTTAGATAAACAAAGTAGCAAAAAAAAAAAGGAAAAAATTTATAAAAAAAAGGTGTTTTTGAAACTTTTTAAACTATTTCTTTAATATTTTATAAAATAATGGAGAGAAAAAGAATAGAAGTAACTACGAAATTTATATTTTTATGACACAAAATTATTTCTTTAATTAGAATATTATACAAAAAAATTTATCGTAATATTCAATTTGAATAAAATTGCTAAATTGTTGTGAAAAAAAAAATATTTTATGCTTTTTCTTTTTTGAAAAAATATATTATAATATCTAAAGATGCAAAAAATTTTGCAAACCATTGCTATTGAATTCAATTACCTGAATTGTTCGAAATGATTAATCAGTTACTTCGAGTTTTAGTAATTTTTAAAAAGGATATTTACAATTGTAAATTTAAATATGTTTGTTACATAAACTATCAGACTGTTATTTGAAATGGAAATAAAATAGGAAATGAAAATTGATTTTCTTTTGAGAAAATTGAGAAACTAAAAATGGAAAAAAAGAAAATATTTGATAAAATCATTTGAGATAAAAAATATTTAAATGCTTTTGTATCAAAATATTCTAGTACTTCAGTGTTTTAAATTTTCCTTCTAGTGTAAAGAAATAAAATATGAGTGAAATGTTCATTAAAAAGTTAATAAAACCTTTTCCTCTTTTTTATTCAAAATTTTATTTTTAACTAAAATTTCATTCTAATATTTTCACCAAACATTCATACTAAAAATTAAACTTTTGTAATTAAAATCTAAAAAATTTGCCTTTTCTTTTCTTTTTTTTTTCCGTTAAAATTTAGAAAAGTAAAGGAGGAAAAAAAGAATTTGCAAAAGTTATTTTTGTTTTCGTTTCTCATTATGAAATTAAATTAAAAGAAAGTAATGCGCAAATATTAAAATGAAAAGATTTTTAGTTTCTCTTTTTTGTTTTGTTTTTTCTTTTTGGTATAATTTCTAATTATAGTTATCGAGGAATCATTTCTGAGAGTATTCATCTATGGATGATGTAAGAGGCGGAGGTGAAAAAAAAAAAAAGAAAAGTAGGTAGGATGATGATAGGATGACGATGATAATTTGGATTGAAATGAGATGAGGCGGTATTTTTCCAGGAAAAGATTAATCCTATATTCTATCTTCCTGTTTCTATTGTCAAAATCTTTTTCAAACTTCCATAATTATCATCCGATCATCATTTCATAAATAATTCATCAGATAGATGACCATTGCATATGTCCATTAGAGGTTTGTCAAATTGGAAAACCATTTCGATTCATCTTTATTCATAGTTTTAATTAAATAATTAATGTTATTTATGCATGATATTTTAATGATTAGCTTAATTATCATTAATGTATTTCAATTAATTTTAACAAATAATTTAGCTAATCGTTTTTGCTAATTTTTAACTCTCTTATTTTCCTGTCTAGAATTTATATATTTTAATTTATTCATTTCATTGACAATTATTAAATGCAATAATTGCTAACATATATAACTAATTTTTTTTTTTCGTTTTCAATAGTTAAAGTAATTTTAATCTTTAGTAATTCATTATAAAGTACTTGACTTTAAAAAGAAAAAAAGCAAATAGAAAGTAAAAAAAAATTTTTTTCCTTAAAAAACAAATAGTTGAAAAAAAAACGACGTATTTTAAAATTAATAGCCAATGAAATTTATAAGAAATACAAATTACTCGTTTTTTTTTTATTTAATACTATTTCTTAAAAAAAAAAAAAATGAATTTATGTAAAACAGTTTGATTTTGGTTTTATTTAAAACCTCAAAAATTTTTGGTTTGTTTTTTTTTTTTTAAATAACACTGAAATTAATAATTTTATACATAAAAATAGAAATAACATTGGATACCTTCAAATATTGGATTCGTATAATTTTAGAAGAAATATCAATAAATAAAGAAATTTCCGGAATCATTGTACTATGAAAAACAGGCGATGAATTATTTTCTTCCTATACAAATGCTATTAGCAACGGTATAATTTGCTCAATTAGCTTAAAAAAATTTGAATAATTCATAAAACAATAATAAAATTAAATTTATAATAAAAAATAATGAAAATTTTTCGTGTAATTTTAGAAGAAATATCATTAAACACAAAAATAAAAATTAATAAAAACAAAAAAAAAAGGAAAGGATAAGATAAATAAATTTTAATTAAAAATGTATTTGTTAAAAGTATTATTAAAATTGCTCTTTCCCTTTTATCATTTTTATCATTTTTTGTTTATAATAGCCTTTGTAAACAAGTAATGAAATAAACAACCTTTCATCTTTTTACCATTTTTGTTTATTTTGTAATTGTAAACAAAATATTTTTCTATTTTAAAGATACTGTTACTAGTGATGGATTATGTGGTAGCAATAACAATTGATAATGATATCATTGGTGATCCAGATATCGAATGTCTTGATGAAGAAATTCGTATTTTTGTTAAAACTCGAAAAATATTCAATGGTAATAATTTTCAATTCAATTTGATTATTAAAATAGTAAATGCTATGGCAAAATTATTAATTACTCATTTTAATATGAAACATTTGTAATTAAATTAATTCGATGATATTACTTTTATATTAATTTTATCATTTTGCTAAATCAAAAAGTATTTGTTTGTTTGACATCAACTAAAATAGTTTAATTACTAATTATGAATTATAAATAATAGTAATAATAAAAATAACAATAATAATAATCTTAATAATAATAGTAGTAATAATAAAAAAATTACGCTGTGATCAATCAATAATTATTTTTAATTAAATAATTTAATAATCTTCCATATTCCGCTTTGTCTCTTTATAATTATAAATTTATAAAATTTTTAACAGGTCGAATTTATGCAAAAGGAAAAGCGGACAATTCCGCATGCATTAAGGATAATTTTGCTCAAGAAAGGACAACGAAACCACATATGTTTTTAAAATTTGGAACATGTGGCATGAGAAGCTTACGATCCGTAAGTAATCCGGAATAAACTCTCTTAATCCGATTCATTTCATTTTGTCCTGTATAAACATTTAAATTATTCAATGTAGCAAATATTTTTAAAAAAAAAAAAACGAAAAAATTAAAAGTATTAATCATTTTGAAAGAAAACTTTAATATATTAATTATTAAATTAATTTAATTGCAATAAACTGAAATAGTTTAACAATTGACACTTTTGAATTTGTTTACATTTTGGCAGTTTAAATTAATTAATTGTTGATAATTAATAAAAAAATATGATTGCTGAAATTTTTTAATGCATTTGTCCTGTTCTACCCTAGGTATTGTCCCAGCAATTGTTAACCTTAGGTCAAAGTTCATTTGAATAAAAGCTGGACATAATATTATAATGACCAACGGTAAATAAGCTTTGACAATTCGATGACCACACAATAATACTATTTTAAATTTTGTTTACTTTAATTTTAATTGTAAACAATTTCAAATTTTGAAAACTATTTCAGATTGATCCGCGAGGAATGTATTATGGCATTACTATTGTTGTTTCATTTCATACAGTTTGCTTTTCAATAATTTGTTTAATTATTTATAAATTTTTGAATTAATCAACACTTTTGTTATTTTAAAATTAATTACATCAAATTTTATTTATTTTTTGAATTTTGAGCAATTTTAAAATTTCAAAATCCTTTTAGATTAATCAATAAATGATATTATTATAGATGTGAATAAATGATATTATTATAGAAATTATTATAGATGTGAAAGAGTTTAATATTTTAAATTATATTTTGTTTAGTATTTGAAATGTTTGTTAATTAAATTAAAATGTGTTTTAATCATTGAACTATAATAATTTCAGTTATTTATTACAAAAGTTGATCAAGCATTTCATGTTAAATGTTTTTTCGAGGAAGCTAGCCATGGATTAACTGCTAAATTTGGTGTTAGGTATAATTTGGAAAAAAAATAAAAATTTTTTTTATTCTCTTTTTTTTAAATTATTAATAAATTTTAAATAAATTTCAATTATTGTTTTTGCAAATTTATACAAACAAAACAAATTTTTTTTTTGCAGCAAATTTTGATTATTATCTAATAAATTTAAAAAATAAAAAGAAAATTTTTCTTTTTTTTTTTTGTTTAATATCAGAAATAATTTTATTTCATACTTATGAAATGATTGGTTGAAATTAGTATAATTAATATTGCTGTAGAAGGAGTGAAATTTGAATCTTATTAATAGATGTAATTATAGCATTCATTATATATATATATAATTTTAAATTATTATATCTTTAAAAAATAGGTCAAAGAGAGGAAGAGAAAAGTAAAGAGAGAGAGAGAGAGAGAGAGAGGAGAGAGAGGATGTAAAAATAGGAATGAAAATTTAAATTTAGGCCATATTTCCTGTTTCCATTTCTCCTACTTTTTTTTTTTTTTTAAGGTTTAATTATTTTTTTCCAAAAAACGTTTTTCTTAATTTTTATTCAATGGTACAATTTTTATGTGATTTAAATGTTTTAACAAAATTAAATGCAACAATAAGAATTAAGCAATTAAGTTATTGTTGAATTATCTATAGAGAAAATAATTTTCAATTTTTAAGTTTTTAAAATTTTTAAGGAATAAAAAATAGCATTTAAAGATTTTTTCTTCCCTTTTACAAATTTAATTTTTCATTTATCTTTTATTCCATTTTATTCTTTTAATTCTAATCAAATTAATCATATCTATTCACTTTATGAAAAGAAATATATGTATATATATATATAATTTATGTTACAATAGCAATAAAGGATCAACGGAAACATTTCAAATTTGAATTTAATTATAATTTAAATTAATATTGATAAGCTTATAAATATTATTTGATTTATGAAAATGAAAATGTTTAATTTTAATTTAAGCTATTATTGATATTTTTTATCATAGATTTATTAAATATTACTTAAAAATTATGATAATTTCATTAAAAAATAAGGGAGAAAATTTATATTATTAATGAAAATATATCTTTTCATATTTAATAATTATTAATTTGATAATTTCAGTATGATTGCAACAACAGAAATGGAAGCACGTCATCCAATTCCAGGTTGCTCATATAGTATTCATTCAAGTAGTATTGATGATATTGAAGCTGGGAAACCTGCTGGACCTAAAATTAAATATGCTCGAATTGGTGATCGAGTACTTCATCAATGGCACTGTGATGATCGTAAGAAATTTGAATAATTTTTTAAAAGTTATTTTCATGATTTAATCATTGATTTACAATAATATTTAATCATTTTTAATTTATTATATAATTTTAAAGCAATTTTTATATTTTTTTTTAAATATTACATTACAAGTATTAACTTATATTAACTTATTTTATACGCTACAAAAAAAAAAAAACAAACAAAAGAAAGAAAAAAAGAGAAAAAAAATTAAATGAAATTTTTTTCTTTATTTAAAAAAAAAAAAAAAAAAAATTTATGAATTAAAATAATAATTTTATCTGATCATTTTTTATAGAAATGTATGGCATACTTATAAATAATTGTTATGTTACTGATGGATTTGGTAAACGTAGCGAAGTTATTGATTCAAATGGGTTTGTTATTAAATTTAAATATGGAAAATGATAATTTATTCTGTTGTTGATTATTTTTTTTTTTTTAAATTTTATTAAAAATTTAAAAAAAAAGAGAGAGAATACAGATGTTCAATTGATCCAATTCTCATTACGGGTATACGTTATTCATCTGATTTACAACGTGCTTACGGTGAAAGTATGGTATTTAAATTTGCTGATCGACCAGGTGTTTGGTTCTTTTGTCAAATTCAAATGTGTATGAAAAAAGAAGGAATGTGTAGTGGAATAACGGTAAATTGTTTTTTATTTAAAAAAAAATAAAATTTAAAAAAAAAAAGATAGGAAGAAATTTTTAATTTTTTATTAATTTCAAGTTTTTCTTTTTTATGAAAATTTTTACTACTTTTTAAAATAATTAAAATATTTTTGCAAATATTAAAAGTTAAAGTAAAACATGAAAAAATGGATAATTTATTTAAATGAAAAGAACAAACAATAAATTGAAAAAAAAAAAAAAAAATTTAGCCACCATCATGTTCATCACAAATTAATAATAATAATGCATACGGTACAAACGAGATATATGAAGGACAAGAAATTTCCGGACGAATAAAACCGTTTTCATTAACATTATCATCATCATCATCATCATCAACAACAACTATGAAAACAGCAAAGAACAGAGAAAGGTCAAAAATTGAAAATTTGGAAAGTGAAATGGCAATTAATGCAAAATCAATCGATGAATATTCAGAAGAAAATGCTAGGTCTAATTTGAAATATTGAAAAAAAAAATTTTTTTAATTTTTAATTAAAATTTGGAGGATAAAATAAAAAAAAAAACGTGTTAATTCCTATTTTGAATTTTTTGATGTCAAATTTTTTTCTTTTTATTATATATATGAATAGATTAATTTAAAAGTAGTAAAAGTTTAATTAACTTATAATTAATATAGGACAAATCTTTATGTGAATTAAGTGATGATTGTAATTTTTGAAATTTAACAAAATTAAAAAAAAAAGACTTTTATTTGCATTTAATTTTAAGGAATGCGATAGAAAATGAAGAAAATGATGGAATTTATGATGAATTAGAATATGCGACATTAGCGCAAAATGGTCTAAGGAATGAAGAACATCCAAGGATTATAGCAAAACAGAAATTATCAACAGCTACAACTGATAAGGTTTTATTTATCAGTTTTTCATTTTTTTTTTTTTTAAAAAAAAAATTAAATAAATAAATGAAGAAAAGCAATTTGCAACATATTTATTTACTTTTTTTTGACATTTATAAAAATTGTCGCAACAAAGTGTTTTCTTTTTTTTTTATTTATCAAAATTTTAAGGTTTTCATTTCTTTTTTTTTTCTGAGCATTTTAATAAATATTAATTGGTAAATTTATTTTAGGCATTGGTGACAACAATTTTTGAAACAACTGATGATTACAATATTGACACAAGACATGTTGATAAAGAAACTGGAAAACAAACTAGCAAAAGTAATTTTGAACAAAAAAAAAAAAGCAAAAGAAATTAGAAATAAAATATTCATTAAATCAACAATTTAAAAAAAACAAAAAAAAACAAAAAAGAAGAATTAATGAATGCAAATCTGTTTACAATAAATTTTGTTGATACTAATGAATTCATTTGCATTATCAGATTAATGAAAATTATATTAACATTTGATTGAGTAAAATTAATTTGAATTAATAATTTTATCAAAATAAATTTCAAATTTAATTTTGTTTTTTGAAATAAAGGAATTCAAATAATGTTTGTTCTTTTTTTGCAATAATATCATCATCATTTCAGAAGAATATAAAGAAACTGAATATGAAGATATAACAGTTGGATCAAATTTAAATGATCTTTTGGCTAATTTACCGGATCAAGTAAATGCTGATTCATTACAGAAAATGTTTCATGATTCGGTGGAAAATCGTCGAGCACTTATGCGAAGTTATGATTATTTAATAAATCAGGTTACTACTATAATAATATTTGAAATTTGTAATCCTTTCTCATATTAATGTAAACAAAAAAATTATATAAATTTCATTTCAAAAAAAGAAATTTAATTTTGATTTATTTTAATAAAATTATTAATATAACAATAATATATAATATATGTTTTAAAAGTTTAATTCATTAAATAAGTGCTCAAAAAAAAAAAAAAAAATTGAAGCAAAACTTGAAGTTTCATATTAAATTAAATAAGTAAGAAGGAAAATGGAAAACAAATTTCAAGTTTAAGTTTTTTTTTTTTAAATTAAAAGAGAAGAAAATTCACATTTGTCAAATTAAAAGAAAAAAAAAAAGATTAGAAGGTCACAAATTCTAAAAGTGCTCCTTTCTATGCATGAAAAAAAAAACCTTTTTATTTTATTTAACATGAAATGGAAAAATGAATTTACGTATGTTAAATTAAATTTTCCTTTGATTTTACGTCACGTACGTGAGTAAGTAAAAAAATTTTTTTTTTTAATTTATAGATGGAAGAAAATAAAATGACTAAGATGACAACAAAATCATCAAATATAAAAGGAAAATATAGACGTGGTGATAAAATCAAAACATACAAGGTATTATCATTTTTTCTTTTTTTTTTTTTATTTTGTTATCAGTTAAAAATAATAAGTAAATAAAACTTTATGCAAATAATTTGTTTACACATTTACTTACAAAGTTTTTTGTTTTTTTTTTTGTTTTTTGAAACTATAATAAATTTTGTTATATTTAAAATTTTCAGATTAACAAAAAAAAAAGCAAAAATTTTATAGAAAAAATATCTCAAAAAAATGTTTTTATTTCTTTTTCTTGATCATTTGTAGGTATTTTGGGATTCAGTTCGACTAGCTGATAAGCCATTAATAGCAGAAACATCTATTATTGATCCGGAAAATCCGGAAAATAACAATAATCATTTGATGGCTCAAAATGTTGACATAGTATCGTCAACGATACATGATAATAATGGCCTAGGCTCAACAATGATTGCTGGCCAATTAATTATTTATGATTTGGATGAAGAGCCACCAGTTGCTAATCAGTTAAAAAATAAAAAAAGTAAATATTTATTTTTCATTCATTTAAGTTAGTTTAGGCTATTTTTTCACACAATAATTTCATCTTATCAGTGTTTTTGAAACATTTAATTTAATCTATGATAAGAATTTGATTGTCAAAAAGATTTGCTAGTGATAAATATTAATGATAATACACTGATAAAGCAGTTAGTCAGTGATAATAATAATTGCCATAATGCCAGTAACAATTGTTAATTTGACAAAGCTATTATTGAGAAGTACTAATGTCAACGATTGATGACAATTATTGATGTTATCATCAGTGATAAAGTGTTCTAATCATGTCAGCTATCATAAATAAGGATGTGATAATAATTAATGATAATCAGTAAATTTCAAAATGAAATTATCAATGATAGATAAATTATGTTTCAGTGCTAGCAGCAAATAATTGTATAATTAGCAGGGAAGGATTATTTGTTGTTGCATTAAGTTTGGGTGCTATTTCCATTACATTATTTATTGCTACCTTATTTATGTACTTTCGCTTATCAAAATTTGAAAAGGTAAAACCTTTTTAATTTTAATTTTAAATTTATATTTATTATTCTTATGGTGAAAATAGTGTGTGAAATTTGATTTGCATAGTCTTAAAGGAGTAGAAAAATTCATTATTTACTCATTTGCTATTAATAAATTTAAAGTAAATTTTCAAAAATCTTTCTAATTGGTAAAATAAAATAGATTATTCTTTTGTTTTAACTAATTAGTCGACTAAAATAAAAAAAATTTTTTTTTTAAAGTTAAATTATTAAAGTGAAATTGAATGTTCTTTTGTATTATAGTTATCCTTAAATTGTTTTATAGAGAATAAAAAATAATTTAAAACATTTAATATATATTTTCGTTAATAAAGCACAAATTAATTTACTCATTTTTTGCAAATGCAATAAAATATTCTGCAACAAATTTTAAATAATTTTATTTAATTTTGCTATTACATTGCATAGTTACATTTTAACTGATAAATTTTATTTGTCAAATATTTTGTTAATTAAATTTTAAATTATCTCTCTACTTAATAATCTAATTTTATTTTTAGTACAATATACAGTATTTTGTTAATAAATTAATTTAATTAATTTCCATTTTTAGGATCGACATTAGCAGCAAAACATTCGTTGATCAGCAGATATTATGCAGTATCATATGATTAAATCAATAAAAAAATACCTGTATTGATAAATGAATAAAATTAATTAGTTGATAATGCTTGTCTAAATAAAATTTTAATTGTCAATTTTTAATTTCAAAAATCTGCATGAATATGAAAATGGGGAATTTCAATTAATTTTATATACGCTTGAAAAAAAAATGTTTTCTTTTTGATTGAATAAAAAAAATTTTTTTCCAGTCTTTTCTAATATAGAAATGATAATAATAATAATAGTAATAGTGATAATAATAATAAAAATAACAATAATAATATTAATTATAATTGATAATATTATTAATAATAATAATAATAGTAACAATAGCAGTGATAATAAACATATTAATATAGTATTGATATTAATTTGAAAAGAAGTAAAAAATATTAAATATATTTTATGCGAGAATGTGTTGGACACAGAATCGAGAATTGAATAAATTAATTTAATTTCCGCCAATGATTGCTTTTATTTCATTTTGAATTTTGTTATTAAAACGAATAATTTGTTTGTAGAATTATTCATATTTATTAGTGGAAATCATTTTAATTAAGTATTTTGTGTGATTATTCTACTGAAATTACAATTTTATTGAAATTCTTTTTCAGTACAATGTTAAATTGCCATGTTATTTGCTTTTTTTTTCATAAGATATTCATTAAAATAATAAAATTTTTCGAAAAAATTCTTTTATTTTGTTATAAATTTAAATTTTATAAAGCTTTTTCATAAAACAAAAATAATAATTTAGGAAAAACAATAAATAAATAAACACTGCAAGAAAAAAAAAATAGCTAAATTTACAGTATATAATATGAATTTGTTGACATATTAATTAATTAACGCTAATCTTTAATTACGTCAAATATTGATTGATTATATTGTTTAAATTTATCAGAATTAAAAAATTTTGAAATTATACAAGAAATTTTGCAATGAAATATAATAACAAATCGATGATAATATGTTGATATTAATATATATTAAATTTAGTTACTAATCAAATTACTATTAAATTTAATTAATTGTTGCTAAGTGCATCTAATTTTAACATTCAAAATATTTACATGCAAAAAAAAAAATTTGATAAATTTAAATTTATTTATTAATAACTATTATTAATAACAGCTAACCTGAAATAAACAAGAAAAAATGAGACGAAAAAAAAAATTAAACTTCAAGAATTTGAATAAATTTTTATTAAAATTATAAATTATATCAAATTTTATCTTTTTTTTTTTTTCAAAAATTAATGATAACTAATTTTATTCATTGTAAATAAATTTAATTATATATATTATTTATCAAATTCAATAGTAAATATATAAATCTTTTTTTTTTTTTAAATTTTAATCCTCTAATTTTAAATAAGCAATCAAATCACACTTTTTTTTTTTTTTTTTTTGGGAGAGAGAGGGATACATTTTTGATAAAAAGAAACAATAAAAGATATATTAGGTTGAAAAAGAAAAAAATATATAGGTCATGATCTGAAGGAGGAAATTTTGATTTATTTTATTGGACATATTGGGTCGTACCAGTTGAACGACCCGTTCCATTCATTTCTTACCAATTGAATATTTTACGCTCATATTACCTTTGCCTCGTTTATCTCTCTGTCCCTCTCTCTCTCTCTCTCTCTCTCTCTCTGTTTTTTTGTCCCACTACAAAATGTATGCCTTTTTAACAAAAAAAAGAAATGAAATAAAATTATGATTGGTACATTTTAAAATTTTATCGGTACCAAATGACATTCTTTTTTCCCGGTCAACTTGTTATTGAAATTTTTATTCAAATAACAAAAAAAAAAAAAAAAAATGTAAACAAATCTTTTTTTTTTTCGTCTATTTTAGAAAAAATATTAAAAAAAAATTTTTACGACAATTATTTATTTCAATTAATAATTTTAACACTTTCAATAATTGATAAAATAGATGGAAAAAATTAATTTTTTGATTAATTTATTCACATATTTATTAGCGTTGTTGTGATTATTTAACTTTATCAAAACTAATTAATTATTAATATTAATTTGTGCTTAATTAATATATTTATTAATGTTTCCTGAAATGATAATTTTTGATTAAAAAATTTTGAATTTTTTTTCTTTTTTTTGAAATTACAATAATTTTATTGTATATTTCATTTTTTCAATTTTTTCCGACTTTATTACATTTTAATCCAAAAAATTTGCTTGAATTTTTCTAAAATTGCAACAATTTGAATTTGATAGAAAGAGGTTAAAGGTTATATTTAAATTTAGCTTCTTTGCATCAAAAAATTGATAATTCATTCTGAGAAGAATTGGCGAATAATTTTGACAATTTTTATTAATTATTACTCTCATTAAATCATTATCTTATCACTAATAATTAATTAATCAATTAATAATTAATTCTTTTTTAAAGAAATATTAGCAAATTTCTTAGCAAATATAATCAAAATATATTTGAAATTTTCTAACGGATAAGATAAAAATTAAAATTATGTGCAAAAATTTATTATTTAAAAAATAATAAAAAATTATTTTGATTTTAATCTTTTAGTTATTATTCATTAATTAAATATTTATTACTATTAACTCTTTTATCCTTGTTTATACAATACAATAATATTAATTACTTTCTATAAATTCTTCGTTTAAAACATTTAAAATTCTTCAAATCTTGTAATTTGTATATTTGAAAATTTGAAATAATCTTTAATTTTTTTCTTTCTAAATTAATTTGAACAGCTTTAAAATATTCATTCTCATTCCACTGATTTTATTTCAATTTTTAATTTCAATGTTCAAAAATTTGAAAAAAAAATTTCCAAATTTTTTTTTTTTTTTTGTAATTACTAAATCCAAACAAATTTGAAAAAAAAATTGCTCTAATTATAATGGATTTATACATTCATAAATTTGAAAAAATGTTTCAAAAAAAAAATTTTTTTTTTTTTGATTTTTAAATTTAATAATTTAAAATTGCTACAAATTAAATGAATGAATGGTTTTAAAAGTATGAAAAATTATTTTCTGACTAATTTTGAAATGAAATGAAAAAAAAAAATCAAATATATTTCATTTCAATACTCACATACACACATATTTACATGTTGACAAACACAACATACACATACACACACACACACACACTGCCATATACTTATACACATACACACACATACATGCTCACATACTTACACACACACACACACTGCCATATACTTATACACATACACACACATACATACTCACATACTTACACACACACACACACATACATACTTACATACTTACACACACACACACATACATACTTACACACACACGTACATACTTACATACTTACACACACACACACACACATACATACTTACATACTTACACACACACATACATACATACTTATACACACACGTACATACATACTTACACACATACATACATACTTACACACACACGTACATACTTACATACTTCACACACACATACATACTTACACACACACGTACATACTTACATACTTAACACACACATACATACATATATATTAGAGTATAATCAACTTATTCATTTCAAACATACAATGATAGTATGACAGATGCTTTATTTATATCAAATTCATGTCCAATATGGCATTTCGTAACTTCTCCGACACGTAAATATTTGTGTATATGTATGTTTTGTATGTATGTATGTGTGTATGTTTGTATATGTGTACATGTCTGTGTGTATGTGCATGTATGTGTGTGTGTGTATGTGTGTGTATGTGTGTATTTATATATAGAACGACCCGTATTTTCTGGAATTTAGGGCAATCAGACAGATTCCACCGAAGTATCGCTGTTGCTGATTCTAACACAAATTGCCATTTGGTGGTGACTGTCATCAGTTTATACCCTAAAAACTATCGCCGACATCGCTGCTATCTTTTCTCATTTTGAAATTAAATTTTGAATCAGTTCAATTGTTTCATTAATATCCTTCAATTTCTAAATTTTATTCATTTCGTCAACACAACTTATATTACAATTTTTCATTTATAAATTTCTAATTGTTGTATATCAGAGAAAATTTTTTTAATTCTTAACTTATTTAAATTATTAACACTTAATTTGACAACAATAAACAAATAACAATTCATATTCATTTTTTTTTTAATTATAATTTTTATTATTTATAATAGTGATTATATTGAAAAAGCTTTATTAATCGTTGTTAAAATTTACAAATATTAATTTTTTCTTGTTTTTAAATGATTAATTAGATAAGTAAATTAAAAATTTAAGTTTAAATTGTAGCTAATAAGTCATATTGGTCTGTTTTTTTCTTCATTAAATATTTTAGATTTTAGATTTTCATGTTTACTAGATTTTTCGTTAATTTTTTCTTTATTTTTTGCAAAAAGAAATTGAATATAATATAATGCAATATAATTACTATTAAATATCTCATTAAATTCTTAGATTGTTTATTTTTCAATCAATAAACCATTTTTAGATAAAAAAATCTTACAGTAATTTTCTTTGCAAACAGAACTCTATAATTAATCAATCTTTTTTAATTTAAATTTTATTGATGAATTACTAATTCAAATACAGTTTTGAATCTGATTAAATTTTCTTCCTATTTTCACCTACCAAATATTTTTAGGAAATTACTAGAACAGTTCATGTGCAAGAAAAAAAAAGAATGAATTTGAACTGATCATTATTTAATTTAATTATTAATTATCAAATATTTGCATCAATACAAATTGCTCAAAAAAAAAAAAAAAAAGAAAATTCAATTTTTTTTTTTGTGATTTTTTAAATTAATGAATAATTCTGAAAATTTAACATGAAAGTTTCATGTTTATGGTATCCGTTTAAATAAATGCTTTCGTCTGATACATTCAATTTATGACTCAGCTACTACAACGATGGTATTTTTTTTGCAATGACAGTAAATTAAAAATAAACTTTTTGAAAATTTATTAAAGCGAAAAAAAAATTATATATGAAATATTTTTAAAATATCT